CTGCCAACCAACTGAAAATAAAGAAGACATTGTTTGTGTTGACTATCAATGTGCGTCCAATAAATAATGTATTTGTGTATAAGTTGACCCAGTTTGGTTTATTTCTATTTTACCTTTCTTTTTAGAAATCTACAGTCAAACTGCTTTAAATCACTTGAGTTACAATGCAAATAACAAGTACAAAATTGTTATTAAGATTATTCTGGGAAATTGTCGTACATATTTTCATGAGAATTTTTCAATTGAGGAAAAAGCCCAATTCCACTGGTTCCACATATAAGAGTTTAAAAAATAATGTAATCTTCAAAATAAAATTGTCATTTCAACATATGTAGTTATCATTGTGTAATCAGTGTTGTCTGTGGTGCAGCAGCTATGGTACTGGACATTTCATGAACTGAATTTTTGTGCCTTGACGTGGTTAATTTAATCTTATGTTGTCATTTTTAATGGTCAAAACTGATTTAGAACCTGAGACAGTGTCACATATTTACAGCTGTGAGAGTTAAGTTCTTCCTGATTAACTTGCACTTCAGGTCTTCAGTTGTGAATGATCTCTCCACATTTATTTCCTTGTAAACATTTGTGTGGCCTCAAATCATTCAATCCTTCAAAGGCTGATGTCACTTTGTTTGCAGAAATATTTGATCAATCTGTGGATGTGTGACCTGCCTTGATAAAACAGCTGTGATAGTGTGTCACGCCCTGACATGATGTCCTTCTATCTGAGGTCTCAGGCTTTAAGTTTAACACGATGTATAAAATGCAAATTGATCATAACTGCACTGCTGTATTTGAAATTAAATGACCTCAGACTTTTAACGCAGACACAGTAATAATTAGTTTGCTCTGAAAAACAAATTGGTCAAACTATGAAAACACAAACAGCATACTAATATTAGTTTGATTATCTTTAACTCAAATCCTCTGAGGGTTGCTGGGGCATGAAATTCACGCCAAAGCAGCATTTTAAATATTTTCATGATGTATTGAAGAATTATTTTGGGGGAAAACTAATTTCTTCAATCAAAACATAAATTTCACTTTTTACACTATATATTCAGGTCACATTGTATATATTATACTCTCTCTATATAAACATATATATATATGTATATATATATATATATATACTGTAATATACTATATACACAATATACACTGTATATATACTATATATTATATTTACATTTCCTTATACTCATTGGGTTTTATCTTATCTTAAAGATATTAGGACTATTTTGTGTTATTTTCCTTATTCACAATGACACATTCTTTACATTCTTTACTTTTATATAATTTATTTTGAGACGTTTTAAGCCTCCCTGAACCTTTCCCACTACTCTCCTGTAGAGGGCAGTGGACAACAGAGCAATGCTACTTCTTGCATTCCTGCCTCGTTTTGCAAGGAGACATTATGAACATGAGCAAACTAACAGCTGATCTGTTAAACATGCAGCCTGGTGCTGCCCATGCTTAATGCGTGTCCTAACTGTACAACACGGACTGTCTCTATGTGTCAGCCCTGTGATGGACAGGACCCCTCCTCTCACCCAGTGTCAGCCTCACCCTGAGACCCCTCGAAGGATAATGAGTATATATAATAGATGGATACATGGACTTAACAGAAGGGTATTCAGTTTGTTTTATTACCACCAGAGGGCGATCAATAACCGGCTACAAGACAAGAGGTCTGCAAAAGTAATAAGTAAAGACATTATGATGCAGCCTGGAATCATTTTTAACTACTTGTAATGCCCTTTAGTCTCCATATGAATCCACTCTTAAGGCAGCACAGGACAGAAAACTATTGAAAGACGCTCTTCTACCTTGAGCTGCATTTCTCTTTTCTTTCCCTCTTTGTCTTTCTTTCTGTCTTTCAGTCTCTTTCTTCGAGCGACTGGGCCTACACAGTGGAGTGCATTGTCCTACGGCAGGGAGCACTCCACCAAATGGTTTAATTGGAGTGCCATCACTCAGGGACCAGATTAGGCAAGAGTGTTAGAGACTTTTAACATTTGCCAACGGACACTATGAATAGAGCCTGTGTGTGTGTGTGTGTGTGTGTGTGTGTGTGTGTGTGTGAGGAAGTGGTAGTGAGGGCCTGATAATGTTGCTGAGGAGACAAGTCTATCTGTATGTGCATTCAACATTCAGATTTTGAGCTGGGAGTTTTTGACTCTGCACACACATGCTGAACTCAAAGAGCAGCGGGACTGATCCGAGACGGAAGGACGAGCAGACAACACCACGCTGTTTGCTTGTTGTTATTTATTATGATGTCATCACAGCCTCGTTATTGCACGTATCGTAAAACACGGAACTATTGCTTTGTGTCTAGCCAGTTCCAGAGTTCAGCATGACCCCAGCTCCGTTTCGCCGCAGAGGTCTTGTCTCATTTCGAGGCCTCAGAGGCCAAGGACACATTCTGTTATGTGGCGGGGGGCTACAGCACAGAGACCTTTGTAGAGCACATGGCAGTTGGCAGCGGGTGAATAGAGGAACAATGTCTGCAGTCGATGTTTTGCTGTTTGAAAGCGAGATTCATGAGTAAATCCAATTAAGGAAGCTTGCAGTTAGAGTTAGTGGGTGCATGATATGATGGTGTAACTGCAGTGAGGGAGGTGATTTATATCATTTCCTTTGCAGATTTTTGCAACCTCTTTCCCTATATCCCTTTTTCCATCCTCCTCAAGGCCACCTCATTGGCATGTGCTGGAGTGGGCTCGCAGATCTGAGAGCTACAGTCTGAGTGTGGGCTACCAATCTGTTGGCACGGCTTAGGTGGTCCTGGCTGAGAGCGAGTCAGCAGCAAGTTTCACACACAGAGGGGAGATGAGGTGGACAAAGATGGCAGGGGAAAAGGTTAAAGGGTTGAGACGGACTGAGAAGGCGAGGGTCAGAGGAAGAGTGTGAGACTGTTGTCCAAGACTAGTCCCTGGACTGAGCGGGGAGAGAATCAGGGTTAAGTGCTCTATTTGTGTGGCCATTAAAAGCTGGGAGTAGAGTACCGGGCCGTACTGAGCCAAATCTCATCAGTCACTGCCAATTTGAATCAGAACCAGCACCCCGGTTCTCCTCTTTATATTCCGCTTCTTTTTTTTCGCCCTCTCCTCTACCCTCCTCCCATCCATGCAGACAAATACACATTCCAGCAGCGGATGTGGCAGTGGTTGTCCGTAGCAACCTGCCATGCGGGGTGTATCTTGTGGGAGCAGGACCACTGAGTGAATGGCTGAGCCTCTGCTAACAAAGGCTGAATCTCTGAGATGCTTTGAGCTTCCATAGAAGCGCTGTGACTTCTGGGCTGTGGGAGTGCTTTGCATAATCCAGCAGCAGCAGCTCTGCCACATCACTCTCTCTCTCTCTCTCTCTATCTCTCCCTGCTCTCTGCACCTAACGCACAAACCCTGATGTAGGTCGACTCGTCTTGGTGCATCCTATAAAATTCTTTCAATCAATCATTCAGTGTGATAATCACAGGGTGTTGTTGGGAGTCCGGCTGTGCAAAGGTGTAGAGGGGCCAAGAACTGAATGTTCAACAGTTCTGCCTCTGCCTACTGCTTGAATTTTAACATGGACTGGTCTGGTGAAGCAAATAAGTGATTCTGATCACGTTTCTTTGTTAGAAATATCAAATATAACAGTCACTCTTTATTTTAGACAGCATATTATAGTATGTCATCATTTAAGATCAGTTTAACAATAATTTACTACCACCCTAGATGCAATCAATTCCTGCATGAGGCCAAACCGTAAAATTAAATATGCTGTATAACTAAATTAGTTCTCTAATTTAGGCTATTTCGATTTCTTTGAACAACTTTATTCGTGTGTGTGTTGGTCGTTTATTCCTCCACCTCATAAGAGAGTCTGTCACATTTCCAGCCACAAACACGGAGTTTGATGGGTGAGGGTGTTTTGATAAGTGTTAGTATGTTATGCATATGAGTTCTGCTCTAGCATCGTTTCGTTAGCTGGGATCTGCCGGCAGCTGACACTGTGTGCTCTGCTTCCTCCTGCGAGCCTCCCTGGGACCACGAGGCCAGCTGCTCCACTGTGCCTCTCAACGTCAACACATTTAACACAGGCATGTAAACTGCACACTTCAGTAAGTCGACGAGTCAGTGACTTCATCTTTATGGTGTATGAGCTTCTCTTCCCCCTCCCTTCTTTTGTTGAAGCCTTTAAGCTGTAAAAACGTAAAGTCGCTGTGATGGTGGGGTCTGTTTTTTCTTTTTTAATCTCACGCATGGAGAAAGAAGGTTGGGCAGAGAAAGTCATTTGAACCGAAGTCACCATTTCAATACTTCAGGTAAACAATCAATGGCAAAAGGCTTGAGATATAGGGAATAAAACTAACTGGCGCAGCGTTGCCCTGAAACATGTACTCTAATACTGAGGTCACTTTTACATTTGCCAGCTGGTAATGTAAAACTGATGTCTAACAACCTCTGCCTGGCGCACTATCAAGATACATTAAGGCACATAGCCATATTCAAAACATCACCATATCTGTGGGGCAAGAAAAAAACAGAAGCTACCACTCCCCTGTAGTTGGAGAAAGTCGACATGTGTTCAGCAAAGCAGCCAGTTTTCCTTCTATTACTGTTTGAGTCACTTGATTACAAAATCATAATAACTGAGAGGGATGCCCATTTGTTTTGGATGGCAGAGCGATCACAGCACAGTCTTGAAAGCTTTCAGGCCAAAAGGAATGATGTACTTTTCATCCCTGCTATTAGTTGTTGTTAGTGATCCATTACAGCAGCACACATGGTGTTGCTTTGGTGAACACATGTCTGGAACTATGGCCATTTAGATAAAGGGATTCCATGATCAGAAATAGATTTAAAAAAAAATTTGTATCAAAAAGCCAAACCTACTTTCCTGCAAAAACATCCACAATGAGTTCTTAACACAGATCTAGGATGGAAATCGTATATATCGAGATGTGAAAAGGCAAATTCTCAACTAAAAATCGGGTTCTGGAACAGTACTTCGATGGGTTTGATGTATTTTTTTTTTGTACATGTCCTTTGCAGGCGTTATTTTCTATCCAGTTAAGCTTGTGTGCACATTCATTCTAGGGTTACAGGACTGTCAACATTGTGCTGTTCGAACCATCAGTAGTATAATATACAAATGTAAAGATACACAATAGAAATGCATACGAATTATTACAATGAGACCTACAAAAAAGCATGAGAATAAAAAGTCAGTGGGGTATTGCAGGTGAGGCAAGCAGAGCCACAAATGTGCGTCCAGACCAAGGGACACACCCCCTCCTACCATGATGGAGTGCATGTCTATTTACACAGCATCATAACAAAGCTATCAAAAACAAAGGCTCCAAAAATTTCCTCCTAAAAACTTTTTTTGTTCTTTTGTTTCTCTACTTACAACAATGTCGATTTCATGTATGTACAGCCCTAGAAAATAATTTAATTATACTTACACACTTTCTACATTTGTGAAACAATACAGTTCTAGTCCACAAGGAAGGTTGGTTGTTTGTTTGTGTCAAATTGTGTGTATGTGTACATATGCATGTTTTTGTGTATGCAGTGTGTGTGTGTGTGTGTGTGTGTGTGTGTGTGTGTGAGAGGTGGGGGAAGAAGGTTGGAGGGGATGATGGTTCGTGGATAACAGTCGCAGGGGCAGATTCAGAGAGTGGACTGTACGTGGTCACAGGGAGGAAGTGGTGGAGTCAACGATTTCTCTCCCGTTGCACACGGTTGGGACGAAGTGGGCACTGACAGAAGCTGCGAAAAGAAGAACGTGAAAAGTGTTAAACAGAAAAAAAGCATTTCTTAGACTTAAATTCATGCGTATCATTAGTCATAAAACTATTTCTTTGTCAACGATTAGCATAAAACTAGCAATAATAACTTTAACACATAATAAATCTAGTTAGAAAATATATACCCCAAAAAATGACTTCCCTGCTGTTGTATGCCACTGACAACAAGTGCAGTTTCAGTCTTTTTTAGAGACACAGATGAGGTCACCGTGCCCAAATCGAATCAATAAAACTGTGACTCTAAGTGAATAGCTTCTCTGGAGACGTTCTTTAGATAATGCACTCATGGTGAAGGCAAAACCAACTCAAAGCATCACTAGTGTGCAAACTAATGTTAAGCCTCATCACAATAAAGTGCCAGAGAGTTTATAGTTAATATCATTTATGTTTATTTTATTATTTTCATGCTTACTAAAACTTAAATTTATATGCTTTTGAAATGTTTTCCTCATGGTTTGTTTTTTCATACACTTATATATGTTTCTCACAACGAATTAGTACGATTATAATTTTAACAATTATGTTATTGTAAATAATTAGATATGGTCACAGTGGTATCAAACATCTTAAACGTGATGTATTTTTTTGTATTTTGTTCAAATAGAAGAAAATTTAAAAAATATAAAGAAACTGTTACATAGTTTAAAATTCAAAGTTTCGTATTCCCTGTAGTGGAACACAGGGCTGTGTGCTGTGCTGGATATGGAATGTTGAATCCAGCCTGTTCAACAGAGGCATAATAAAAATGACAGCAACAGAGTGCTGCTGTAAAAGCTCTGTCTCTTTAAAAATGAGGTAACTGCATGTAACTTACCGTGAGATGCATACGTGGTGGCAGCCCCGCTGACACTGAAGCGATTGAGGTTAAGCCTGTGGCTGGTCACATTCTTCTGGGGCTGGAACATGATGATATGGACCTTCGGTGCAAACATACAGCCCAGGACCACAAAGCCACTCAGGCTGACGGAGATACACATCGTGGTGGTCTGAACCTGCGCAGGAACATGGGGGAGACAGTAATTAGTTGTCAGACTTTGATGGATAAATCTTATGCTAATGTAGAACAAAGTAATTGCTGTTAAGAGCCAATCTGATGATAATAATCTATAATAATGAACATTCTTCGAAGGCACCTTTTGAATAAGTATTACAAAGTGCCTCGCAGAGAATAAAGCTCTGATAAATCCAAGCCACTTTGATCGACTAAATACTGAGCATAAAAATGCCTACACTAATCAACTGATCTCTGTGCAGACAGAGCCAACAAGAGTATAACGCTGTATTGTTAGACTGTTACTTTGCAACAGTCCAGAGGATAACAATTACAGCTGAGATCAATACGAGTCTCAGGCCAACAGAAACTCAGCAGTTGCTCAAACTGATTTATTGTGCAAAATCAATGCTAAATACAATCTTGTGGATTCCCAATATTTGGGTTAGGATCAATCTTCATTGTCTCTCTTAGGAGAAATGTGTCCTCCACATTCAAAAGAAACACGCAGGCTGTATGTCCCTAACAGGTTACCGTAACTCATTGCTGAGTGTAACTTTGTGTGGCTGCAGTGTTAGTGTCAGAGATGGTTACAGAGGTGCATGAACGCAACTCACGGTAAATCACGGAACTGTACAGAGGCACATATTAGTAATCGACAGTACAACATGTCCTCTGTGTGTGTGTTTGTGTGTGAGTGTGTGTGTATGTGTGTGTATGTGTGTGTGTGTGTGTTTGTGTGTGTGTGTGCGTGCGTGGTTGTCCATGCTGGTGATGTTATGCTTGCCTGACTAATCTTAAAGTCAGATTACAAGGCCAAAGAAATGCATAGTTCAAGAGAGAGAGGGAGAGAGAGGGAGATATAGAGAGAGAGAGTAGGAGAGGGGGAGAAGGGTTGGTATGTGTGTGTGAGGGGGGGTGTTGTGGTATCAAATGAGCAGCCCTGGCATCAGCACTCTTCTCTAACGCCTTTTGATACACTGCCTCTGTTCGTGTGTGTGTTTGTGGAAGCGTGCGCTTCAGGTATGTGTGTATGACCTAAGATTTGTATGGATCTGGTGAACGCTCGCTCCCTCTTTCCTGTTAAAGATGCACACGTGTCAACACTTTGACAGCCTGTCTTTTTATCGTCCCAGCACTGACATTTGCCAGCAGGATTAGAAATAGTTCTCAGTCTCCTCAACACCCTGCAGACTGTCCTGTGACCGGTGTGCTGGTAATAATCAGAGTTGACGAGACAAAAATCTGCCCACAGAGTCAGATTATAGGAACTCCACCCAAAATGTCAGTAATAATGGAGATTGGAGAAATTTGACATACAGTATGTTTATTTGTTTCTTGTGAAGAGTTAGAGGAGAAGATTGATCCCAATCTCAGTCCTATTATAATATCATAGATAAGAGATTTTCACATCAACATCCATCCATCTATCCATTTCTGTCCACTTTTCTGAGTGTTCCAGCCTGGGGGGTCCTGAGGCATTCCCAGGTCAGATGGGATATGCGGTCCCATTGGAGAGTTCTGAGTCTACCCCTGGGTCTCCTCCCAGTTGGGCCTGCCCAGTAAACCTTCAATGGGAGATGTACAGGAACCAGTCCAAAGCATCTCTACATGAAGGAGCAGCAGCTCAAGCTCCCATGACACAAGCTCCTCGCCCTGTTTCTAAGGCTTGACCCAGCCGCGCTATGGAGAAAACTTGTTTCAGCCACTTGTAATTGCGATCCAAACCTTTTGGTCTCTACCCAGAGCTCTTGACCATTGGTGAGATTGTGGGAACTGAACCACAAGGCAAAGCTTCTGATGCCAGTCCCTCTATATTCTGAGCCTATATGATCATGGCCTATGGGCCATTACTCTCTTTTTTTGAATTAGTGAGCTTTTGAGGTACTGGCAAGAGGATTTTTATCATGTTTGGACAAAGCTAATCAAGTTGGTATATCTAGTTCTCAGCTCTTTTGCTAAGCTAAGTTAACCAGCTAGACGTAGCTTCATATTTAATCTACAGACATGAGAATGGCTTCCGATTGTGTGTGTGCGTGTGTGTGTGTGTGTGTGTGTGTGTGTGTGTGTGTGTGTGTGGGTTTGTTCAAGATACCCTGTAGTCGCTTGATGTAACATAAAAGATGGGAAGAAAGGCCAGCCAAATGATACAGGTGGTGTACATGGTGAACCCAATAAACTTGGCCTCATTGAAATTCTCTGGGCACTTCCTGGTCTTGAAGGCATACCTACAGGGAGAGAATCATGTTTTTGATAAGACACCATCAGGAAAACACACTATTAATACTTAATATTTAAAATTAGTCGTGCTATGGAAAAACATTTCTGAAATTGAAAGAAAAAATAGTTGAACCGTGAATGACACACTTACACAGTACACAGGATGACCAGGAGCACATCATATCCCAGTGACAGCAACATACTGGAGTCACGAACATTACACTTGAGGATGACAGTCTGCCGTCGCTCAGGCAAAGTGAAGCGTCGTGTCCCGGGAACCTCCAGCAGCAACCACACTGACACCATCACCAACTGGACGGAGATTAGACTCAGACAAATGAACACCTGAGAGGAGAGAAAAGTAAAGTCATCAAGATCCCCTGTCTGTCAATCCGTCCATTCGGATGATGCAGATTGATGCACAATGATGCTGCAACTGCTCACCTGAGACGACGGGCTGATGAAGCGTGGCCTCACTGCGCCCGCTCCGTCTTTGACACCATTGAAAATCCTGGCTATTCTGTTAGTTTTGGTGAGGAGGGCTGAGTAGCAGACAGCAAACGATGTGCCAAGGCCAAGGCGACGCAGGGCACAGATGGCGGGAGACGGTTTGGCTAAGAAGAGGAAAGTCATGGCGTATGACATGAAGACTCCCGAGAGGAGGATGTAACACAGCTCCCTGCCTGAAGCTTTCACCAGCGGCGTGTTGTTGTGTCGGATAAACACCCAGAACACCAGGCCCGTGCACATGAACCTTAGGACAGAAGATGCACATTTGAGTCTTATATACTGTGAACTCAAGCCATACATCATTGAATATACTTAAAAACTTATAAAACTGTTCCTTGACAAAGCACATCACATTACTTGTAGAATAACAAAGCATTAGTTAAACTAGTTAGCCAAACAAGCAGATTATGTTTGAACAACTAACCACAGTTTACTTGATTCTTTGAAACTTTTTTCTTGTGGTTTGGAAAGACTAGAAAATATAATTCTTCACATTCATAAAGGTACAGTGTGTAGAATATCGTGATATCTAGTGTTGAAATTGCATGTTGCAGCTGAACACCCCTCACCTCACCCTCTCTTTCCAAACATGAAAAAGAACCTGTGGTAGCTTCAGTTGTCATAAAAACTCAAAAGGTGTTTAGTTTGTCCAGTCTGGACTAATGTAAAAAACATGGCATCCTAGAGAGTCCCCTCGATGTAAATATAAAGTATTTAAATATAAAGGGCCTTTTCTGTTGTAAAGAAAACTACAATTCATACAATTTAGATGAAATGAACTAGTGAAAACATCATGAGGATTATTCTACATTAAATATCTGCCAATAGTTCCCTTTCACCTAAATCTTACACACTGGACCTTTAAATGTGTATGGAGAGACTTTCTATTAAGTTTGAAATCCAAATCTTGACAGTCAGTTCCCTTAACGCAAACACGTACACACACCTCTGAGGACCACTCAAACTGACATCTTGCCGACAGCTCTTTATCACTCACCCTACACAAGCAATAGTAATTGGACCAATGGCCCAGGCGTCTTCCCACATTATGTAGTCCTCAGGAAGGTCATAACAGGATGTCAGATCGTCAGTGGGCCACTGGCCGGGAGCACAGGGCGAGCAGGTGAACTCATCAGCCAGGTATTCATGAGGCTCACAGGCCGTGCAGATCCAGCAGCAGTACTCACCTGGGAAACAGGGATACGAACCGCAGAGTGTGACAGCCTGAGATTGTTCAAAAGGTGCAGATGCTTGATAGGGTATGTTGCTATGACAAAAAAAAGAACATTGTTAAAATTCAGTCCCCTACCTGCCTGCATTTTCTTCATCTCATTACGTTCGCAGGGGTCGCTGCACTGCGAGTTGGGCACCACTTCTCTTGGCCAGTGGATTAGATCACTGCTCAGAGTCAAACTCTCTGCCCATTCGCCCACTGGCATGTAACCGTAACGCTCGCCGGAGCGCTGGTAGCTGAAGATGTTGTATCGGCCCATGCCGTCCCCCTGGGAATCAAACTTCACCGCTGTCTCACTGCCCGGTGGAGAGAATGGAGCTGGAGGGGGGTGAGAGGAGACAAAGAAAGGAAATGAAAGAGATAAGACGAGTGGGAAAAGGAGATTAAAGCGAAACAATCGCAAACAATCATCCCATTGATTTCTCACTGATGCCTCTTAAAAGCAGCAGTGAGGACAGAGACAATAAGCCATGGTCAGTTAAGCCTTAGCAGTCCAGGACAGACAGTGAAGGGCATTATAATAGTGTTTTCATTACTGAAGACCAGCCAGGTACAAATGTATTGGCTAAGAGGCTATAAATGCCTGGTCTGCTTGGTGATGTCTGTGTGTATCAATGTCCTCCCATCCTTTCCCTAAGGTCACATAGGAACAAAAACTCTTTCTAAATTCTGATCCGACAAAGTTTATTACCAAATGCATCATTAACAAACTGCCCATAAAGTCATAGGCATGAAGGCAGAGGACTGAATCCCTGGGCAGCGCTATAGCTACCCACACATTGATAGAATTAGCCTCTGGGTCTCTTATGTGAGGGAGGTACACTGCTGAAACTGCCAAATTGGTTTGTATACAAGTTGTTATGAAAGGATTACCATCTACCCTGAGGATGTGGGAACAGAAGAGATTGTAAAATTGGCAGGATGCTGAAACGGTAAAAAAAGCAACAACCCAAAAAAAACACAGGGACAAAAAGCTTCCATGGACTTGGTTAAAAAAAGGAAAAAAAAAAACGTTGTGCTGTTTGATGTGTCGCATGATGCGTTAACACCTGACAGTGCTGACACTTGGCGATTTTGACTTAGACAAAGTGTATGTCACTGCCACAGTGCCATGTCTGTCCTTACAGCAGAGCAATCAACTCACCGCTGCTGACACGCTGTACATGGCTGTGTGTTGTATGCCGCTGCCTCCCCTGTCAAAAGATGATGAGGCTGGGGATAGTGCAGCATGTGCTGGGTTTATAAAGTATCAATCTTCAACATATAACAAGTCTGTTGGTCTTCAGTGCACAGCCGCATCAAATGCATTGTGCCTTCCTCGTATCTCTGTGTAATTGGATAACCGAAAGAAATTGTGGGCCAAATTCCTTCTCCAAACACAGGCTAAAGCTTGGGATCAGTGGAATGAATCGGGACACAGATTACGATTAAACAGTTTTGCTGAATAAGAGTGTGCACGCAAACACACATTCGCATGTGGAAGCTCCATTTATTTTACAGTTTTAATGGTTAAGGTATTGCTGTGAGCGCTGTGGGAGACTTAGCTGATAGAACCGAAGCTCTGACCCCTCTGTTACTGGTGTGTGTGTGCGTGTGTGTGTCCATGCAACAATGAGGAGGGCTAAAGCTGTGCTATTGTTGAGAACGCTCAGTGTGTCAGGTGACAGCAGAGGGTGTTATGGTTTATGAAATCCATAAATCACAGAGACAACACAGCCGTCTATCTTTCTTTTCTCTCTCTCTCTGTTACAGGAAATTCTAGGCGTCAAGTCTTCTTCGGAATTTGGGGCTAAATGTTTTGGTGACAGCTAAATGAAAATTATTTCAATAAGATGGTGCTGATAATATCTCAGAGATATGAACTGATATGAATCCATTATACTGCACGTTGGCAGATAATAAAGTCTGCTAATAAAACAGAGCAATAAGACAACCTGGGCCGCCTCCTCTTCGACACCCATACACACTCACAGAAACACTTTGCCACTAGCTAATTATCATAACTGCATCTTATTAGGACCTTAGATGTGCACTGAAGCCTAATTAGCTGTATGTGGTAATTACGTGTAATACAGACTAAAAAGATAACGACATTGGCCCAAAGACCCGTTTATGGGCAACGTATTGTCCTTGACTTCCCTTGAACAGATCACTTTCCGAGAGCAATAGACTGAGAGTACTGGCGATTTCTTTCTTTAACCAACATCAGCAACCTTGCTGACATGACAGAGCAGCTTATCAGGAAAGTATATGAGGTTGCAAGTTAGAGTTGGCGAAGGCCACCAAGACTTCTAACGTGACTGCAGAGAGCTGATGGCAGCAGCCTATAGGTCCTTGACTGAGGGACGCCACTCATTCTCCTCAACACTGTCCTGGGATGTATTTAAAACTCTGGTGAGGACACAGGATTTTGTCTTTTACTGACAAGACTAAGAGTCTATCAGTGTGTCACTTGACTTGTGCTAACACAAGTATGCCAACATGCTAAACTTAGCTAAATTAGGTAATGTCAACATTTTGCAGGTATTTGGCCAACACCAAAGGGTTGGGAAAAAAAAGTTCAGTTTTGCAAGTTTTGCAAATGTCCATCAATCTGGGGAGAATAAACCGACTGTTCCAGCCATGTTTGGGCTCAAGAATAAGAGATTTAAGTGCTCTGAAATCCAGAATGGCCTCTGCAGCCAGGGCCACAGAATATAAAGCAAAAAACTGTAAAACAAAAAGTTTGGTGAGAGAACCTGCAGTATAACAGAGCCCAACCAGATCCTTCCTATTTCTGAGACATTTAGTATTCCTGCTAACTTGAGAAACGCCTTATTATTCTAGCTTAATTAGAAGCATAGCAAAAACAGGCTTTTCATTCAGAAGCAGAGAAATTAATTATGTTCTCGGCCATGTCGGGCTAAAGCGAAGCCCAAGGGGGATTGTGGGTATTAAAAGCAGGGAGAGAGAGAGAGAGAGAGAGAGAGAGAGAGGGGAGGCAAAAGGGGCTTGGGAGGAATAAGTAATCTAAAAAGTGGGAAGAGAGAGAGTTATGGGAGGGGGATCTTTCTTTGTGTGGCTAAAAATCCAAAAGCTGGCTGTTGATTAGTTTTTGGCAAGGGAATAGAGAATTATATTTTTGAGCATCAATTCAACTGAATCCCCAATTTAATCCCATTTAAGCTTGACGAGGTAAATAGTGCATTAAGGCTGATGCATAAACACACAGTTGTTTCAGGTAAAATATATAAATACAGTTCCTCAGCTCCGTTCATGGCATGACCAACCTTCCTTTTCCCTCTTTTCATCCAACATGGGTCAATGACCTTACACATCTGTGTCCCACAGAGAGAGTGTGTGAAGGGACACGTACACACATCCCTGAGCATATACAGATACGAATGAACAGATGCACTCACATGTCACACACACACACACACACACACACGCACACACACACACACACACACACACACCCATACACAGACAGATCACATTAGCTATATCTGTTCTCCCTGCAGATTCGCTACCCAGGGACTGAGTTGCTCTCTCAGCCATGGCGCAACAGGCCGCTGGGGAATAGATGAAGTTTACAACACGTGGTAGAAACATATAGAAGGGAAGCAGCAGAGAGATGAGGCTAGACTGAAAGAGAGGTGGTGAGACAGAGGAGACAAAAGAGGGATGAGGCAGGCCAAAAGCAGGAGGTGCTGGGTGGTGAGGACGAGCCAAGAGACAAGATAAGGGCAAAGAAAAGTGAGAAGTGACAGGGGAGGAAAAAAGAGAGGAGATAGCACTAGAGAAAAGCAAGAAACCGATGTGACAGAAGCAGAGATATAGGTGGATGGAGGAAAGTCTTTCAGGTGGTGGAATCAATAGAGAAAAGGTGAAGGGTGGATGGATGCATGAGTGTGGTGGAGTAGAGGAAAAATCCAGCACAGAGAGGCGGTAGAGGCAGGAGAGAAAACCTTGTGAAGTCTGAGTGGGATGTGCTGTTTTTTAAATGTAGCGAGAGTAGGACACTTTTTTGGGTGACAAAGAAAAAAAGGAGGGAGATGTGGAAAGATGGAGAGATAAAGGGTGAGAGAAAGAGAGACGGAAAGACAGGGAGTGACGGAGACAGGAGAGACGGAGGAAAGGAGTGTGGAGAGGAAAAAAGAGAGAGAGAGAAGGAGCTAAGGTTGTTCTCTAGCATCTAAACGTTGCAGTGAGCTCTCTGCTCAATATGGCCCTGAAGGCACACCGCCTCTGCTAACACAGACATATCACACACACACACACACACACACACCAAAGCACAGAGGGGGGGAGGGGGGTATCACATCTATCCACTGTTTGAACAGAAGACTGCGTGCATGTGTGTATATACTGATCTGTTTGCTGCAGATCGGGGTGGTGGGCGGGTGGGAGTTGAATGATGGCTTTGAGGAGTGTGTGGGCTGGGGGTGTCTGCAATTTCATACTGGTATAAAAAGCATTTCAGGCTGCCTCTTTGTAAAAAAAAAAAGAAGAAAACACTGACTGTTAAGCGGAGTCCATGCATGTCTCTCCCGTGCGTTCATGAGTGTGTGTTTTATGTTTCAAGTATGTAGCCAGGCCTCATAAAAATACACAAATATGCCCCCTGTCTGTCGGGAGCATTTCCCATGATTTACCAGATCACTTCCACAATGGGCAATAGTGTCGGCTTCATTACCATAGCAACTAGCGAGATGAGGCTGGATGAGGAGAGCGGCATATGAAAACACTCTCCTAACCACACAACATGCTGCCTCAGTGCACCACATACGCTGTCACATAACTAAACAGCCCGATCACAGTCAAAAGCAGCTCGCCACGTCATGAAATGTGAAGTTGAAGAGGGAGGGGATGGATTCAGTTTTTACTGGGAAGCATGACGCATGACGTGAAACTTTGATGCAGTGGGAAGCATCTCCTAATGAACATGCATGTGTGTGTGTGTGTGTGTGTAAGGGAAGGGAAAAGAGATGGGGGTGAGACAGAGAGTGTTGGTTTTTCCGTCAGCAACAGTTCAGACCGAGAGCACTGCGGAGATGCGGTGATGCTGCAGTATTTATACCCCACGTTCAACCTCAGCTCACCTCGGCTGCTTCCTTCTAAAGATGTATACAGTATGTGCGGCGGCGAGAGTGAGTCAGGCAGGGCCGTAACCAAAAAAACTTCAAAAAACAAACGCCACAACAGATTTAGTTACAGATTAAGTGACAGATTTTTTTAGAGATTCAGCGGTTTGCCATGCTGTCGCTGTCGTCACCAACGCTGAGCTGTATCACAGATCCTTATTTACTCTTGCTCTTCTGCAGAATAAAGACTTGCACCTCATGGACATACATCAGTAGTGAGAGGAAAGGAGGGAGAGTGGGATGGGATGTAAAGGGAGGAGGATGATCAGACATAAAGATTTGTCGATGGGATTCACATCTCTCCTCTCCTCTCCTCTCACCACAACATTTTTAAACTTTCAAAACTTCTCACGTATGTTAATCTGCATATCTATTCTATCCGTCCATATAAGGGAGTGGTTACCAACGGCAATCGCCTCAACTCTATCCTCTCACTCCATCTTTCTCCCTCTCCACCCTCTTCCTCTCTCTTTCCTTCTCCCTGTCTGCCTCCTTTCAGACAGAAATGCTCCACGTCCTTTGATTTGTAGCAGAAATGAAGATGGGGAGTTTCAAAGAGAATCCTCTTGTTCTGCTGACGCACGCTGTCCCACTCCGGCATTGCCTCAGTTCTCCCTCCCTCCCCCTTCCCTCCCTCCCTATCTCTACTTCTGTCTTACTCCCTTTTTTACCTAAAACCGAAACTCTTCCTTTCTGCCTGTCAATCTCATCTGTTACCTTCCCTCCTCCCTCCATATGGGATGCCACTCTCTCGTCCTCATGCTCTCTCTTTCGTCTCCGTCTCCCTCTTCCCTGCGTCCTGTGGCAAAGCTGCTGTGTTAGTGCGGCGTGTCTGTCTGTTTTTGATGTCTGCTCCTGGTCACGGTTGGTGGAGGAATAAGCACCTCTAAACCTGTCAGTCCTCGAGACACAGCAGTTTATTTATAACGCTCCCTTTGTACGCCATCTGTCAGTCAAGCCAGAGAGGCAGCATGCTATAGGAACTATTAAAACGCACACAATCTCATTAGTGCAAGTGAGAAGAATATGGCTGACGGATTAACCAGAGCCCTCTTTCCTCAAAGCAACTTTGTAGTGTCTTATCAATTACGCATGGGTAATAGGTGTCAATGGCGGGCTGCCTCCGACAATACGCAGTAATTAAGCGGATTTGTCTCACTTTTTATGTTATGCTCAGGCTGAGGAGGACAACATCCCTGTGTTGTTCATGAGAGGAGTGTTAACTAGGCACAGCTCTCACATCCCTTTCTTTTTCTTGCCCCCCCCCCCGTTTCCTACCCCCCTTCTTCTTCATCATCCACTAAATTTCACTCTTCATCCACCTCGACCACCTTATCTTAGACTCCTCACTCTCCTCACAATGCTCCATCCGTCTTACCTGCGAAGCTGACGTTAAGGATGAAATCCCTGTAGAGTCTGCGCCCGTCCAAGGCCTTCATGCTGTCGCACAGCTTGGTGGTGTTGAAGCACAGACTCCTCTGCATGTTGTGAAGGGCAAGAGCCATAGCGTACACCGCGTTCACCACAAACATGATCTTTGACTCGGGTTCAAAGTTATTCTTGTCCATTGACAAGTCCTTGTCACACGGCGGGAGGAGAGAAGTCTCCCCGAGTCCAACACCTCCACCTACTCCTGCTCCTCCACCACCTAAAGAGCACTGGAACCGCTGTTCCCAGAATTCCCTGTACCAGGGATTACGGTGGTTCTTGACCGGGTCCAAGCTGAGGAAGTAGCGGTTGAATTCTGGCACGGGATTGGCTGCCAGCTCAAGTGTGATGGCTCCTTCGGCGGTGACCTCATTTCCCTTGACAATGCTTTCCTGCGCACCCCAGCCGTCGCTGGCCACCCAGATGAAGGAGGTGTTCAGCCTGGCAGCAGCTGCCAGCAGCTCTCTGGCATCATCGCTGCGCAGGAAGAGAACAGCCACTCGGGCATTCGGTTTCTGGAGGAGCTGACGGATCACAGCTTCATAAGACTTCTTAGCGTTTGAACGCCCCACCTGGAAAGAAAGACAGAGGTAGAAGCATAGACTGAAAATGCTACTCCTACCCTCAAATACATTTAAGATCCATATTTCCAACAGTTTATCAGTATGATTCAAAAGGAAGAAAGCAGAATGTATTCCGTACTTCGGCTTCATACTAACATTCACCTTCATAGCAAATGAGATGAAAAATGTGAAACCATCCGGAATTAGTTCTTGGAGATAAGCTTTCATTTTCTGGTTGACAACTGATAACACCAGTGTAATATAAACCCCATTTTGTGTCAGACAAGATAAGACATGAAGACAAACTTTTATAAGATCGCAATTTTGGCGCCCTGTTCATTGTCACTGGTGCAGCTTCCGGTCATAAATCAGCGTGACACTCCAGATTAAAAAAATCAACTTTTCAGCTTTGAGCAATGGTGTCTCATATTCATGCAGATCGAACCGCAGAATTCTATTGAATTCCATTACATGCCCTTTACCTTCTCCGAAGTGGCGATACAGATGTTCCTCATGCGTGCCTCTTGCTCGAAGGCCTCTATGCCAGTTTCACCATAATCACCCTCCGATGCCACGGTGGACACGTATGTCCAGTTGAAGAACCGCAGGATCTCGGCCATGGCCTTGGCCTGATAGAAGTCCGGGGGCACGGTGCGGGCGAAGTAATCGTAGCGGGTTTTATCACTAAGTTTGGCGCTCGTCGACGCATAGCTTATCTGAGGGATCTGGAAAAGCCTGAGAAGATTGGCAACCTGAGGGAAGAGATGGAGAAGTGACATAAATCAGATTCTAAATACAATTCTAAATCTTCTTTTTGAATGATCATTTTTTTCAGCACACAGATATACGAAATGATAGCTAATGTTTTTGTTTCAGAATATACACAGCACTTCATGTAGCTTGAGTTTGATTTGAATTGACTAATGATATAAATTGATATAATAATCCAAATTTAATTTCTCTGAAACTAGTTGTATTTTGTCCCATTAATCTGATATGTTTATGTAAAGAGGTGTAAAAAGTCATCTCTTAATGGAAAGTCTGTAGTAATCAGGTATGCTGTTTGAGAGCAGGCCTATGGTGAAGAAGTGTGTTACACTAAAGACTGAGTACAGTCAAGCAGCAACTTTAAGTGTTCATACAGCAAATGTTTTGAGAGAAAGATGGCAGCAATGAAGCCTATTGCTTTACTTATTTAATGGGGCACCTGAATGAAAGAATGACCAGAATGACCACTTTCTCTGGATCTGCATACTGGATACTGATGATACCCTAACTCCAACCCTTGAACCGATGAGAGAAATATTTGATGAAGAAAATGACCCGCTTGGAAGCTAAGAATCTAAACATGCCCTCAAACACTATAGCACTTCAATGGATCCTGATTGTTATTTGGATCTGCTGCAACATTCACACATATCATTCCCCCTCAACATGTCAGATTTTTTTCATTAGGATCCAGGATTATTCTTTTAGTAATCATTGACAATGTTGAAAACGCCCAATGTCGCACAGTTAAAGAAAGTGAAAAATAATTCCTGATTCCACCCCCTGACATTTTATTGGTTTCTTCCCTGATGTATATCCCATCCTCTCACTAAGTTTCATGATAATACATCTAGATATTTTTTGTAATCCTGATAAATAATAACAGTCAAACAAACAACCAGATGAAAATCTGTGGTGGAGGAAAGTATGGTCGTATTTTTTGTGGGTGTTTTACTTTTAAATTCAAATCCGTTTTTCAGTAAAGTTTGATCAACTTTTTAGCATATTGACAAATATTTATATATATGAGACCAATCAAATATCTGACATGATTCTTTATTCAATGTACTTTTTTCATCAAAGGAAAAATTAGAGGATATTCATAAGGCTGTTGCTGATAGAAATTCCTTCACAGATAATGTGCTTATTTTCAAAGATAAAAGACAATCCAGCAAGTGTAGGAATAGATAAAACACACACACACACACACACACACACACACACACACACACACACACACACTGACTCATGCATTAGTGATGGACATCATCTGGGGTCTACTGATGTCCATATAATATTCCCTTTTACTGTTGATTGGGGTTTGTTGGTATTCGCTTCATGACAATTTTAGTCAAAGATGCTGACACAAACAATGGAAATCTAATTGTTACAAATGCTCATGCGCACAAAGACATGTAAACATACACAATCTAACATGCACGCACATGCGCAAATACACAACACAAAGTACACAGCCATTCAGTTCTTGCCTCAGTTTAATCCTTTTAGAGCGCATCACTCTGAGCTTCTCTATATTTCATACGCAGCTCAGTTGATGAGCTATTTTGACAACATGTCGGAATCTCATTAGACTAATAATGTAGAAGATTACACTAGCATACATATACTGATGTGCACGAGGACAGGTTGACACACACACACACACACACACACACACACACACACACACGGGCGGCTGCTTATAGTTTTATGGTTTTTAGGTGGCAGTTGACTTAAATGTCGGGGAAGGTCACGCTGCAGAATTCCACCGCATTGCTCCATCACCTTCAACTGAACAATGACCACAGCTAGTTACCAGGCCTGTCTACAGGGACAGAGACAGTTTAGTTTGTCAGTGAAAGCTGCTGAGAGAGCGAAGGGAGACTCACTGTAGGAATGGGCTGAATATGAGAGACGAGTAAAGAGAAAAATTAAAGGGAAGGAGGAAAAAATTGGTGCAGAGGAGGGATGGTGTGTGTTTTCTGCTTGGAATGCAAGTCACACACGCACACAGACACACAGAGAGACACAGACACACACATGTGCGGACGAACGCTGCTTGCTATGTAAATGGCCTCAAGACAATGGAGTTTAGTTGTGCATGGTTAAACATAAAATAATTCCCTATTACTTCATTTAGAGGCAAAAGACAGATTGGCCAAGTAGAGTGAGCATGAAGGTGTAGTTGGATTAGCTTCACTGGCAGGAGATAAGACAGCAGAGCACAGTTCAGGTCTCGTAAACAGCGCTGCCCTCAGAAAAGACAGGTAAAAACAACAGCACAGCAACAAAGGGCAATGAGAATGAGCTGCGGGAAAACAAAAGGATAATTATGTTTGATGAAGGACAAGAAACAGAGAAGATGTATTAACAATGTCTGCCCCAGGAAGGAGGAGGAGGAGGATGAGAAGGGGGCTGAGGTCAGCATACACTGAGCTCTCACCAAATAGCCGGGAGGGACGCCTTAGAATGAATATAAAGGAGAGGAAAAAAGAAAAAGTAGCCAGTGATGAGAAGGTTTGTTTGGCCTTGGCAGAGCTTTGCGTTCTTCTGAGTGCCATAGCCTCAAAATACGATTGATATTCCTCCACCGCGTGTTACCTGTATTGAGACGCTGCTGAAGGATCCTCCTATGACGCCGGCAATAGCGAGTGGGTTGTCATCCTGCAAAGCGTACGATCCGTCTGGACAGATGAACTCTGTGTCGTCCACCTTGGTGAGGGAGGCTCTTACAAACTCCAGAGCCTATAACACAAGCACATAAATCAATCCCCTCCAACATGTACTAGTGAAGCATATGGTATAACCTATTTATTCCAAATCAGCTACTAATTTATGTTCTTTATGTAAGAAATCTGCTACTTATACATATACACACGACTGATAGATGGCTTTTCTTGTATATTTTCATCTTAAAATGCTTTTAGTACAGGGTCTAAATGTGAGATATTCAGGCACATTGTCACATATTTCTGCTGTGTACAAACAGCCAACAGACATACAACCTATTTAAGGTACCCTATGTCAAGAATCCAGGGTTTATACAGTCAGAGAGCTCATTGTCTAAGATCCCTTGATGCATCATCTCTAAATAGCTCGGCAAAAAAATATAATCATCCTTCTGAAGATAACAATCACTGAGGGGTAAGTGCTTTTCTTTTCTCTTTTCTTTTATTTTGTATCCAGCTCATTTCCCTAATCCCAAATTCCTATTTCTATTTCTGTTATCATTTGAGGCAAGATCCGTTTTCCCAGGGTGGATAAAAAGAATTACCAGATGCATTTACTTCACCTGAACATTATCTTTTAATGAGACCTTATAGTTGTACTTGATTTAAAATGGAAACATTACCCTTTTTTATGTCTGACACCATCTAGCATAGCAGCAGTTTTAGATATGAAATTTATAGGAGAAGTTTAAGTCGCCCGGCAGTGCAAGAGAACAAACAGCTAATAAACCAACTCTGTGTGAACTGTGCTGCTTTTGAGAAGTTGTATCAGCATTTGCTGGTAAATGCTGATACAACAGAACATAGTACAAAACAAAAATAAGATCTCACAAATTATACTATTCAAAAACACATAACATATAAGTGGTTTAATGTTGTAAAATATAAATGATAAATCTTGGGCATATATCTTTGAATAAGCCACATTTTAAACAGCATCAGCAGCATCTGTGCATATGAAAGCTTTGTCCTATCATCATCACCATAGGGGGAGGCATCTACCGATACTGGACTGTGATTGTTTTGATGTTTGGTGTGCTGTCAATTCTGCAAGTGTATTTGCATTTAGTCTTTTTGTTTGAATGGAGAAAAGGAATAAACCATTTTTCTTTGTTAATTCTGTTGCCATGGTAATATCATTACAGTATTACTACTAGCAAAATGAACATCCTCATCATTCAAACATTGTATCGTCAGAGGCAAAGACTGCAAGCAATACTGCTAGCAGCCATTTATTTGATATTATTTATTGTCTTTTTCAATTGTTTAATGCTGTCTCCTGCAGCTTTCCTGCATTTGGTCAGGAAGTCCGAAAAAGTATTTTCATACCGAACCATGGTTCAGTTTGATCGAGCGAGACCCCCAATTTTGAATGGACTAAGATGTGGAAAGTATATCAAACACTTTCCAGGATCCTCTCTATTTGAGTTAATGTACAATGACTATACTCACCTGCTCCAGTGCATAAGTGTCTCTGGAGCAAGTGTCCAGGATGTGGACACCGAGGGAGACGCCCGGCAGCAAAGTTTCGTCCATATTGATTCTGTCGATGGCGAACAGCATGGCCTCCAATCTCTGAATTCCTCTGTCCTCATTCACGCGCCCACACTCCTCCATACCGCCACCTTTTTCGTGCACGGGGAACAAGCCGCCGAGCACCAGGTCGCCCTCGATGCGGATCTCTCGGCGGGTCGGAGGAGGGTCTCCAACGGAGAGCAGCACGCCCCGACACATCATGACCAAGACCAGAGCAGGAATGCGGGCCACCATGTTTGGCTGAAGCAGGGTTAGGATTGACACTTGAGTGGAAAAGAGGGGCTGAGGGTGAAGGTCAGGGATGGGGGGTTGAGGGAGAGGAGTGCAGTGACTGGTAAGGTTGAATCAAGTGGCCGTGGGTGCTTGGGTCGGTTCGTGGCCCATGAAACATTCAGGGAGAGCTGAAGTGGGCAGCACATGGAGGGGCACACCATCTGGACATCAGTCCTGCTTGGAGAGAAGAGGAGAGGATGGAGACACAACTCAATCAAACACATCACGGGACAAATGACAAAGCTGTCAGACAAACAATAAAACACTTTGTAAGTGTTACGATAAAGTACAAAGACAGCAAAGTGGACCTTTACTGGAGTTCAGGGACACTGTTAACAAGGGCTCAAAGATGTTTCCGCTTCACAGCCAAAGCCAGGCCATGACTAAAAGGGATGAGGAATTGTTTGGAGATTGTACCCCACTGTTCTCCAACTTGCCCCTCCTTTACATCTCCATGTCTCTATGCATGTGAGTGTGTGTGTGTGTGTGTTTGCCCCTGGTTGTATCAGGATTAACCAGCTTAGATGGCTGGTTGATACATGAGCCCAGCCTTCTCATGCCACAGATCAGAAAAGCTTCTCTAATCTGATATCTGTTCCAACAATTCTCTGCTCGCCCATGAGTTCATACCCCTAAGTGTGTGTGTGTGTGTGTGTGTGTGTTTGTGTGTGTGTGTGTGTGTTATCAGATGTATTGCTTCCCCTCTCGTCTGCATAATTTTACCATGAAAGAAGCTAACTTACAACACCGAGGCCAAAAACAGTTCATGCTGCTTATCGTCGCTTTCAACTCAATTAAATACATCACTGTGTGTTTTGACTGTGTCGCTCAATAACATTCTCCACCTCCTCTTTAGTCAGAGACAAATGTTTCAATAGATAATGGAGCTGGTGAAGTTGTCAACAAACATGGCATGTCGCAGATGAAGGAAGAGGATGTTGCTGTTTCACAGTCGTACTTGCTGGGGTAGCGGGAAGAGTGGGAGTGAAGGTAACATGAGTTTTTGGCCACACACAACATGCAATTTTGATTGGTTTACTTTTGTCCAGGCTGAAATTTCTTAAACATGACAGCTTTTGACTCTTTTGACGTGTGATCTACTGAGTGGGCCACATGGCTTTCATATACTCAAGCCAGTAGCCAGTCAGTTTAACCTTAAGCCTCAGCATACCCTCAGGTTTGGCTTTTAACCTTATTGCGATTAAAAGGCTGAAACATCTGAAGACGCCAAGGTACAACTGAAGACTTTTTTATTTTCAATAAAACAAACAGTCTTAAAGAGTCTAAATGTGATGTCCCTGGTCTATCTCTCCACATTCTAGCCCCTGCTGCATTGCTGTCTTTACCTTTCCTGTCTTGCAAGTTTTGCAACTTTATGCAATTCTGGAATGCCAAATGATTCAAAGACTCAGCTGTAAGAGACAATATCCTGTAAAATACATATTTACTCTAGTCTCACTCTCCTTATGTGTTTATATCTTTTTAATAACTTAGCTAACAGAAAGCTTTAGTGTCCCAGGAAGATGGACATCAGAGTGATATTTCCATCCATTCATTCGTCCATCATCTATAACGATTATCCTGAGGGTAGCGAGGGGCTGGAGCAAATCCCGGTAAACATTGGAAAAAGGAGGAGTACAACATGAACAGGTGGAGTGCGATTTGATTCTAGTAAAATCCCTTCAAAATAGCTAAACGTGCTTTACCCCCCCTCACCAGATTTGACAGTTGCTAACAGCTCAATAGCATGCTCTCTGTTGTGGGACTTCTCCAAACCACTTTCGCCTATGCCTGTATAGATTTAACTGATGAATCAGACAGGGATTGAGGAGTGAGGCCATACATACAGTACATTCCGAGGCTCGCACTGCATTTTTCGTTGGATGCAAAATTAGTAAACACCCCTGAGAGCAGGATGAGTCATCAAACATTTGAAAGCGTTTTACAGGAAGAGAAACAACAGGGATGTAGAGATTCTATATTGAGTTTTTGACATTTTAGTGACATCTAACAGAAGATAAATTAACAATTAACACGAGGATTAAAACTGGGAAAATGTATCTTTCAATTCACAGGGCTTTTGAGTAGGATCATTTTCCTCCAAATTCTCTCATGTCTCCTTTGCCGTTTCTCCAGTCCTCTGGAGAGATAGGACTGAAGTTGGAGGTTGACATTTGATTATGAAGATCAATCTAGACCAAGGAGTGTAGTGAAATTTCTGTTGATTGCAGACATCAGCTGAAACCCTGTATATGTGTGTGATAGAGAGAGAGAGGGAGAGAAAGAGAGAGAGAGATAGAGAGAGTAAGCCTTTCCTCTTCGGTGAACAGGTAGGAGGATGAAAGCTTCTCTTAGACGCAGGCAGCTAAGATTTTTCTTCAGGCAGCTGCCATACCTTTACTTCTCTGCTCTATAATATGACACACGTACAGACAAACACCCGCCCACACACACACACACACACACACACACACACACACACACCTGTTCTCTGAGGGGTTGACCTAAAAGCAAACTATTTCTATCTCTTAGCTTCCCTCTCTTTCAAATTAGGAGACACACAGGATTAGGATATTTGATAAATATATTGCTGAATGTAAATGTTTAGAAAGTATTGGAGTGCTATTACACCCTCATAACTCAAATTTGAATGAAATATCCTGATATGTTTTTTAAAGTCACTCTTGTCCCTGTTGACTCTGCGTTAAATAGTTGTTTCCTGTCAAAGACCGACAGGAGACGACCTGACACACACTTGATGGACACATAATTTAACCCAATGTCTGTTTCTGGGGAGGGACGTTGATGGGAGTGTATGAAAGTTTTATATCTATTCTCCAAGCTGTCACACATGCTTGTTATGTGTGTCCCCATCGGAGAGGAAAAGTACATTTCTTTTAAATGATTTCCATTGAAATAGCTGGAGTTCCAGGAAATAAACTCTTACATCATTATTAGAGGCCAAAGGAAAACGTCACGCAGGGGAACTTTATATTGAGCTCAAAACAAAAAAGCTGGAGATGTGGTTGTGTTGGCATTTGTGTCCAAGCACAAAAACATGGGCATGCGTGTTGTGGGATATAAAATTTCATATTCATGCAGCTGAGACTTGAACGACAGTTTCACTCAGTGCTGTACTTTGACAGAATTCTTCAATGTAATTGGAAGCTCTTGAACTCAATTTCCCGGAAATATCTGAAATAATATCTTTTCACACTTTTCTCAAGGTGTCCACTGAAATCAAATGTTTGCTTCAATCTCACAAAGCAAAGCACAAACTGTGAAACTGAAAAATATTTCTCTTTTCCCCCCTTGGAATTGCTGAAAATATTACCAAGTACATGACATTGTGCTTGACCTATTATTTTATATTGCATGTTAGCATCTTTATTAGAAAGTAAACTACAGTTGGTTTTCCAAGGAAAAGGCTGATGAGGCTTAAAAGAGGCTGATGAAAGTATTTTTGCTTCCTTTCCGAAAGCCACTGGCTACAGATGATGTCAGCTCATGGTATATGGAAATCAAAGTGCTGAGACCTGAAATTTGCTTAACATACACACCGCACCGAGGTGAACCTAAATTCTTTGTTCTGTCATAGTAACAGCATCAATGCCTCGATTTTAAGTCTGAAGCATTAAAATAGCTTTAAAGCTCCATACCATCCAATATTTGAGAAATGTTATACCACAGAGGTGAACAGCTCTTCAAATACTTATGTCTATACTTATCTGGAATTGGGATCTGGTTTCAGTTCTCTTCATAATTTGCTCCACATATAATGTAAAAAAGAGTTAATGTTTGGGTTAACCCTTTCTGATCCACTTTTAATGGGCTGTTTGAGGGTTAAGACTTGGGTTAGAATTAGATTTAGATTAGGGTTAGTGTAAGGCATTTAGTTTTAATGGTTAAGGTTTGGGCAATGGGGGTAGGAAATGAATTATGTCAATGAGTGTCCTCACTAAAATAGAATTAAAAACTTGTGTGTGTGTGTCTGTGTGTGTGTGTCGAGGTGGGGGGTGGGGGACTGCACAGGTATTCGCAGAGCTGGATCAATGTCTGTTTGAAAAGGGGAGAGCCATCATGGTGGGACAGAGGCCGACGCTGTTGTGTTTCCCGTCATGCTTCTGATTCTGGAACGCCGTCATGTTATCTAAAATCAATAGTTTGCTTCTGTGTAATTGAGAAAAGGCAGCACGACGAGGGGTCTTCTTAACGCCAATAAAGTGAGGTTTAAAAGAGGCTGGCAACTCTGACTTTGAGTCCCAAACAGTGGAGACGACAGGAAGTCACTGCAAGAACTATATTCCAGCACACAAACCCTTCAGTGAAACTTTGGTTGAATGAACTTTAAAGATGATGGTTGGTGGATTTTGTAACCGTCGTATAGAGCCAGGCTCACAATGGTTTCCATTCTTTACCTGTATTGGGCCCAGCTAACCAGCTGCTTGAGACTGATATTGATCTCCTCTAATTGCATGAAGGCAAATATATCTTCTCCCCCAAATGTCAAACTACTCGCTTACATACTTATTCAGTTTTCCTAAAATTTCTGCAGTCAAAAACATGCCATTTTTACATAAACTCATATTTACATAGACACATCATAATGGAGTGTAAATAATGGAATGTCTTACCTGAATAAAGAAGTATAAGGGCAGATGGCAGCTGGCACATGGCAGCATCACCACAGACACCTATTAGAGAGAGACAGGAGACATACAGGGTTCACTGGCTGAGTGAACAAGAGCCGGCAAACAACCAGACTGTCAACACAAGGAGAGGAGATAGGATCAGGTCGAGCAGGAGGCTGACTGCTGACCCTGCTCACTGGGAGCTGTGATGCAGCGCAACATCTGACAGACAACCCCATTTCACCTCTGACCCCGCACAAATCGGGAGTCAGCGGGTATAGGAACGCACCACCACACTCCTCTTTTGCTTTGTCGTGTTTCATCTTCTGTGTTTCCTCCATGCATGGCATCACCTCTGCATCCTCTTCCCCTCTCTCCCACCCTCCCCTCCCCACTTATTTCCACCTCCCTTACACCCTCCACGGCCCTCACTCTTCCCTCCTAACAGGCAGGGCTGCTGTGGATGACACGTATCCAGCTGAGAGCAGCCATGCAGGGTCGATGGACCGCCGAACACTGAAAGGAGTGATAGCAGCACAACTCAGCCCTGTGTGTGTCTGTGTGTTACTGTGTGTTTTCTTTCCTCCGTGTGTGTGTTCAAGTGTGTTTGTGTATGCTTGTTTATCTGTCTGTTGTGCACCCCAGCTGCATCAGTGACTCTCGCAGCATGGGGAGACACTGTATGTGTGTGTGTGTGTGTGTGTGTGTGTGTGTGTGTGTGTGTGTGTGTGTGTGCAAGGTCTTTTGTTTCGTTTTATTGTAGCCAAAGAGCGATGGGAGGTGGGCTGTCAGACGCTTTGTTATTACAGAACAACAGACCCCTTATTAGACATGCACTGTTACAGGTTTATCATTTAATTCAACCAATTGCTTTGAGTGTTTTTCCTCTTTATCATCTCTTTCTTCTTCTGTCGCTCCCTTGCTATACTGGAGACTGGGGCCGAAGAAAAGTGCAACTAATTCATTCATTCTGACCATCACAAACAATTATGTGTGTGTGTGTGTGTGTGTGTGTGTGTGTGTGTGTCTTTAGACATGGTGTCCTAGACTTTTGACACTCCTATGGCTGCAATGGGTCATGAGCATTAAATATTTACAAAGTGCGTTTTAGGCAAGAAAGACTGATGAACCATAAATAGCACAGAAAGATACAAAACAGAATGGCCGAACAACTCGGACGACATATTTTTAAAGGCTAGTTCCGGACAGAATAACAATTTGAGCCTGAAAAAAAAATCACTTTTACTGGATATTTCTTGGACTGTCACAGCTGCCCCATGAGATTACATTGTAGCCATTGCCGGCAGAGCCAATGTACTGGACTGATTCTAAAAGTACCATTCATTTACACAGCCATATTTATATAGGGTTGAAACATACCAGAATTCCCCTTTAAGGCAAACACACAGAATTAGAAAAAGCACCTCTAATAGGTTCTGTCTATTCATTGATGACAGAAACAAAAATGAATGGGGTTTTAATTTGATTGAATAATGTGTGGCTAAACCTGCGCCCAATCGAGTGAAAGTGTTTAATGAGCTCAATTCTACTTACTGGCTTCCCGACAGGAGCGTACGCAGACAGCTACCTCAGGACAAATGGGTTTATCTGTGTGAGGTGACAAAGGCTAACTTGGATTAAGCCTCCGTTTATCACCGATTACCAATCAGAATCAATAATCAGCTTCTGACATGTCGGATAACAATTGATGCTCCGTTCACACAGACAACAGCCTGTTCCTGTATTGATGAATCAGTCCATGTCATGACCCGCGTTAGGTTCAAAGGTTAAAGGCCCCACGTTAGAAACACAGATAATTGATTCCCTGAACCTTAAAGACAGCAGAAATCGAAAAGATCAAACAACAGAACCACTGATCTTTGCTGAAGAACAGAACTATAGCTCCACAGCACAGTCCACATGCTGTTGTAGAGCAGATAAACTACAACATTGTTGATGAAAATTGGATCAACCTATGCAAGATGTTCTGAGATTGAACTTTACTAAGCTCTTGTGTGCAGTGGGTACTCCAAAGGTATTCTCCACTGAAAGAGCATTTAACCTTTGAGCACCGCAGTGGGAGTAAGGCCTATTTTACAGAGTCAATTTTACTACAGTGAGACCTCAAAGACTGATCCTGAGCATGAGGACCATCAAATAGAATCAGTTATGTTGGTTAAATTTCAAATTCCTTAAGTCATATATCAAGCCAGAATCCCAAATCATTGGTTCCAGCTTGAATATATGAATTGTCAGCTTTTCACTGTTTTATAGTTGAATGTATTTGGGGTGTAGGACTCAATCTGAAGGCATCATTCAGACAAAAACACAAAATAATTGAGATTTTAGTCTACAGTATTAAACAAATGAGCTGTAGGTGTATCTGTCATGTCTTCGTATTGATTTCAGTCCTTAGTGTTGGTGGTCCCCTGCACAGTGTGATTCAAAATTACCGTACAGCCTAAACACAGACCAGCGTTGGAAAAATGTGTGAAAGCATTCATCAATCCGCATTTCATCACTGTAGAGGGCGGCGGGCCTGTCAGAAGGAGAATTACCCCTCTGTGGACGGCATCTATCAACTTAACTGTCATGTAATGACCCTGGGAGTCATCGTGGAGCATCAGTCAACCTTGCCACGGCACGAGTGCTGCTGCATCCTACTTAATTCATGTTCACACCCCGTCAGTCTGTCTTCGCTGCAGTCGATACAAGTTGTACAGAGTGCTACAATGGACAGGTGGAGAGTAATGGACAGTATTGACCGCAGCGTATGCCTCAGACAGTTAGAGGAATAAATATAATTGGTCTGGACTGAGACTTATAGGTTTGAATAATGTTGGCTGGTTTTAGTTGTTTCAGGTTTGTTGGTCACACATGGAAACCAATGTCTGCAGTAACCTCTCACTAATTATTAGAATGTAAATGATGTGCTAACTTTTTGATTTGCTCTCATCACTCCCATGTATTTGTCTTCATAATTGGGTGAGTGATTATCTCCACTGCAGTGCAAGTCTTAGAAAGCACTTATTATTTGTGTGTCAAAAAGGATAAATGTGGTATGTAGGTGTTTCTTGACCATCCATCCATCTATCCTCCCACCCTGGACAGGTCTCCATCTCATCACAGGGCCGACACACAGAGACAAGCGATCATTCACTTTCACACTTTCAGCGAAATTATACTTTCCAACTACCTTAACCCCAATCTGCATGTCATTGGACTTTGGGAGGAAGCCGGAGAAAACCCTTGCAGAAGAGGTGAGAAAGGCCCAGACTGAACCGGGATTCGATCCAAGAAACACCCTCCACAAAAACAACTAAAACTAAATAAAAATGGCATAAACATCTGTGGTCTTTTTCCTTTTTTTATCATAGGGTTGTCAGTACTAAATTAAAAGCCAAGCAATTTATTCAAAACATCACTTTGACAAAATTTATGTTCACTAAAATTCTTAGGTTTTATTTTTGTGTTTTTGTTTTGCTGCAATCAACCTTTTTCAAACGCTGCAGCACACATGAAGTCAGATGTGAGGCAGATGCCCACACAGCAGTGAGCAAGGAAAAGGTGTGCAGCTGATTTGAGAGGGTTTGAGTGAATATCCAGGCAAGAGAAAAACTGCCAATGATATTTGGCCAACATTGACTTTCAAAATACATGGGAACTATGTGATATTTTTTACTATAAATATACTTTCTGTTTATGTGTAACACTTAAACAGAAAGTTCCACATGTGATTAGGAACACATGTGGAACGCAGCAATGATTTGTTTTGCTTTCGAACGTGAACGTCAACTGCCGGAAGGACTTATTTGTGTTGGATATTATTGTCTGTTCTGTAATCCCTCGGGTGTTGGGCCATTTTGGTGGTTACGCCACAAAAATAAACAACTCCATCCATAAATTCATGCAACGATCATTTAGTATTCCAATCACAATTGATCAAACGTGCTGAAATAAGGATGGAAGCTGCATTTCTATTGGTATTTGCAATATTTTTACTGTTAGGCCTTGGACCTGAAGCAATGGGTCGAAATATATATATGAAATAAGGATATGATTGAAAACACTAATGCTTCCATTGTTTGGAATATATTGTGAATAACACCAAAACTCACATAAACATATTTTTCTTTTCTATCTCACATCTGGTTTTCTGGGAGTGGCGACTTTCCTGCACCCTGTAACTTTCAAGTATGTCACTGCATAACCAGTAAGCCACCGTTCTCTCTCTCTCTCACTCTCTCTCTCTCTCTCTCTCTCTCTCACTCTCTCTCTCTCTCTCTCTCTCTCTCACTCTCTCTCTCTCTCTCACTGCTTCCCTCCTCAAGCTCATCATTTATTGAAGAGTCTGATCTTTCTCTGAGACACACCATCACAGCTGTACATCCCACTGCCCTTTCACTGCCTCCTCCCCTGAGTGTAAGTATGTGTGTCTCAATGTCCGTGCATGTAAAGAAAGGAAGGGTGTCAGTGAACAGACAGTTCTAACGCTCTGTGTGTAAGTGCATGGGTGTGTGTGTGTGTGTGTGTGTGTATGTACGCAGCTCAATGTGTGTTGTGACTGTTGTTGCTGATGAGATGTGAGCTGTGGGAAAACAGCAGCGATTTCCCAACACTTCCCTGTTTCTTCAATGGAGCAAAACAGTGTGAGAAACGTGTGAAGTGGAGCGACAGTAGTTTGACTAAATTTTGAAAAGCAGAGAATTTAATTTGAGTCATTTTCTGCAGGCCAACTCCAGCCACACCTGTTGCTAAAAATTAATAAGCCTTTGTAAAAAATATTGTAACTTTGAACAAGTCTTTATTTCATTCATTCATTCAATCATTTATATTTTCAGAGGATACATTGATAGAGAACCCTCATTTACCACATTCTTATGGTATAACCCATAATTAAAATATAAGACATTGCTGTATCAATGAAAACAAGGTAAAAATAAAAATGTTAAAAAGTAACAGTTTGAATTGACAATGAGACAATATATAAATAAGTAAAACCCTAACAACAATAGCAATAACAATACAATTATCCATTCAACCCTGGCATTAGCTCAGCTGTATTGATGAGGTCAATCCGAAGGTTTGTTGAAGAAGTATGCAGGGCATGACACCAGAAAGCAGATCTGGCTCACTCTCTATAAAGTATTGGCAGATGCAGGGTGAGCCATGTTTATGAATGAGTGCGATGACTACCACCTTTCCAAAAAGCTTTTGTAAAAGAGCTTTATGAATAAATCTCCTCACTAGCTAGTTCTGTTGGGTATAGCAGACAATGCTGGGTCTCATAACGATCCCTAGCGACTAATATTAATGCAGAGTGATAAACTGCAGCTATAGGATTGAAGGTGCAGGCCGTGGCCCCCCGCCCATAAATAACATCCCAGATTAGAGTTGAGCCATGGATGATGGCCCCGTCCATCAGCTGACAGACATGACACGAAGTGAGCCCTGCATCGTGATTGCTCCCCCACGACAGCTGGGCACACCCTGGCACCTGCCAACACACACGCACACGCACACACACACGCACACACACACACACACACACACACACACACACTATATTTCCAATGTCTGATGAGTCATGTGCTGTGTTAATTTTTCTGCCCCAGTTCCGATCTGAGTCTTTTGATATTGATTATTCGCCAATAATGAGTCTGATCCCACCCCTTTTTGAATACTTGTTTTTTAATGATTTAAAAGTTCAAGATGTCTCACTCTGTTAGATTTGTTTGAGCTGCAGAAGCTTTCAATTCTCTTGTGGTACAGTTGTGTTTCAGAGTGATGGTTCTGCTCTCACCAACTAACTTTGTCGCGTACTGCCAGTGGTGTGCAGAGCTCTCACAAACACATGCCATGTTTAAGTTCAGCCTGCCTTCACAGCTGCTGCAACAAACCATCAGCAGATTTGTATTACTGTAAGCACTAACTAAAAATAAGAAGCTGCAGCTCACACCATTTAATATTTTGTATTTATTACAAATTGTTGTTTACAAATGACATGAATTCCACACCACGGACAACAACATTAAGAAGCTTGTACATATTCACACGTATAAAACCGATGATTATTGTAAAATATTTCAGAAGTACTGAAATTGTCCAAAGTAAAAAGAAAAATAAGTGCCACCAGAAATGTTGATTTTGCCATTATTAAGTTTTATTATGTACAAACTTGTTTAACTGATGCAACTAAAATGTTCTCAGCCACATGCCACTTGACAGGGCTGCAGCCCGAGCCAACAGCAGCGCCCATCTCCCCGCACTAATGCCCGAGTGTTGTAAAGTCGCAGGGTGGAAAGTGAGACAGATGTCATCTTGTAAAACCAGTGTGGTTTGGCAGTATTGCACAACCACATTCAGCACAAGCATGTGGATATGAACCTGCAAGGAACCAAAGCTACTAGTGGTAGTACTGGTAAACCACATTGTTTACTTAAGTGTTTCAGATTAATTGCATGGACTGTGGCGGCCCAGTGAAATAGATTCTAACTTTATGCAGCCACAATTTAACAATGAACCAAAGAATAAACGATAACTAATGTAGTATTTTCTTCACTTAGCCCCTTCTTACCCTCACTGTCTCTTCTCCCTTTCTAACAACACTGACCTGTCTGTCATCTCGGACTGGTCATCAGGAGTGCCAGGAGAAATCCTGATGCATCACTGGGCCTGAACCGTCACAAAAATCAATAAGGTTTTTACCTCACCTGTCTGTCTCCCGGTTATAAGTCATTATTATCAGAAAGTAGTCTGTAAGCACTACATGTACTTCAAACAGTACTCCATACACTGCCAAATGTACCAAAGTAAGACTTAAGTCAAGTACATCTAATATGAAACTATTTTTTATAAAAGTACTTGGACTTCCTGTAGTATATCAATGACGACCAAACTGTGCATGTAAATATTTTTTAGCACAACATTAATTGTCTCACATGAGGTATATCTGCTCTGTGTATATATCACCAAAGCCTTGATGGAGAAGTCCACACTCTAAAAACACGTCCAGGGATGGATTCAGATCAAAATGTGCAAAGTGAAGTAATAACTGTGGCCACATTAAAAACAGAAGCCAAACACCACTCCTCATACGACACTGTTCTGCTATTAAGTACCAAACTCTTTTCAAAATGTCACCCCCTGTAAGCATGAAATCTTTCTGTAAAAGGTTTGTGGGTTTGTCTGTCATAAGAGGGGCTGGGCTGGAGTTGTTGGGTAAAACCAGTAGTGACAAAATGTCCACCAACTTCATGAAACCACTCGTTTCATAGCATAATCCACTTTTCTGGTATTTATCCTGACGCTGGGTTCTTCATACATGTGGTTAAACACGCTTGAATCTAAAAGTCCTCCTGCGTAATCCTGTTTTATGAGCAGGTGTGTTCGCACGTTTGAGTTCCTTAAAGGAAATATAGAAGGAAACCATTTCTTTCTTTTTATCCTTGGGAAATATTTCAGTATTAGATTTGACTGCAACTGACATGAATTCAAACTGACCATACCTGCCCCTCTGCTACATCAACAACATTCATGCTGATCTGAGGTACAACATGACTTCAGTGTTTTCTGTTCAGAGCGCACTAAAACATGTGGCCTTTACATACACATGCATTTATTCACACAATTCTTTTAATTGCATTTCCATTTTTTTTTCCTTTCATGTATTTAAGCCTGCGTCTGGGATTTCAGTCAGGTTATGAAAAAAATCAATGAAACATTGACCCATCAGGAAAACCATCAAACCATATTCTACATCCATTATAGCCTGTCCGTCACCACATGCACATATATCCACACGTAACTCCTCTGCCAATTCTATGAAAACTGATTGGTGCTGTGTGGAAGCTACAAGGCCATTTGTAAACTGACTCACACACACACACACACACACACACACACACACACACACACACACACACACACAGACACACACACACAAGCTAGTGTAAGCACATTTACCAGAATGAAAATGAGGAAACTCAAGGCTGACACTGACAGACCATTGTCCCCCGACTCGCTCATAGATGCACAAGCTCCAAACACACATGCACACTCACAAACGCAAACATGTCTTTAGAGGCCTGTATGCATTGAGGTTTAACAAGGCCACCAAATGCCCACCCACACTTGAAACTCCCTCCTACACTGAATTTGACCTTACGGTCCACACAAACACACACACGCACACACCGAAGGATGTACGAAAGATTTTGAAATAAAATAAACATAAAAATCATTCTGTTAGAAGCAAGGGAACTTTATTTGGAATGCAGACTCACACACATATATTGACCCCACCCCTGAAGAAAAGAAAATTGTGCACAAGTTCTGCACAATTCAAAATTTTCATTCCCAATGGCCACATAACAATTATTTATTGAATTTGTCATTCTTATAATTATTATTATTGTTTTGGTTGTTGTTGTTGTGCTGCTATCTTTCATGGAACCACCAGATATCCAACAGAACAGGAGCTGCCCACCCATCCTCGGAGTAAATGTTTGTTCTCCTCTCTTGAGAACACAAAGGATGTAGTTCATGTAAAATTCTCATTTTATTGCTGTAGTGAGCCCATCTGCTGATGTTGATATTGCAATGTCAATTTACCATTACAGCCATGAGGGCGTTAGGAAAATAACTGCATGATTTTGTAAAATTCTGGAACATATAATTCATGTACTGGTGCTTTGCAGATCCAGTAGCCTACATCACTTTCTAATAAAAAAGGAGGTACGCAATCTGACGCTTGTCTGCTGTGTGTCATTTTAACAACATCTCTGCTCTCTTTTAATTTAAGAAGAGAAACACTGATTTAAACCAAAACAAAGTTATTCAATAGCTAAGAAATAAGTGATCTGTGTAGAAACAGGCAAGGTCAGTCTTCAATAACTGTTGAGTGCAGGACACACCTGCAGGAAAACCACACATCAGCCTCGAATTTTCTCTTGTCTTCTGAATTCAGATGCAGTGATTCCGAATCAGGGATCAGCTTGTGTAGGTTATCTGCAGAAACACTGTTGACTGAGTTCAAGTTCTAGCAATCGCAACCTCAGCTGAGGAACATCAGACTGACTGAAGTCTGTAGCATCTGATGTGGACACTGTCCTCCTCCTGTACCTTCAGCACAGCTTCCATGCTCCTCTGATGACGAGTGGCTGTTCAGGGTCGAACGCACTTACTCCACTGACGTGACTACAGTGACCACACATCCACCTGTATGCCCGTTTCCACAGACTCACTATCCGTCCTCCCCCAGGAAGCTTAAAGCCGCGGGACGTGCCTCGGTGTGTTCTGTCTGATCCCAAATAACTTCTCCACGCTGCGTAAAATACGCATACACTACTCTTTGTTTCACATTGTGCACCTTCATCCTCATGCCTCTGCTGCAGAGATAAAGCTGATGTCAATTCTGTTTTCTTTTGTTTTTCATCACAACCCGCGATCTGAAGATGCATCAGAATAAACAAGGTCCACGGGAGCCGCGCTCCTGCAGCACAACTGGGTGATTAAATCCTGCGCAAAGTTCAAAGCAAATTGCTCAGCATCGCAGGATTGGCTGGCGCTCAGCTCGAACGGTGCCGGACTGACAATTTTTCACTGCACTATGTCGCCTAATAACCAGTAATGCGAGACTGCAACGCGTCTACCCAAACAGTGAGGAGTGTGCCATATTCCACCTACCTTTGGCGACTCGGATGCTTCGGAGGTTGCGCACAAATCTCCAACTGCATGAAGTTTGACTTAGTCTACTCCTGATCCCTCGGAGGAGTCGCACTGAGAGGGAGAGGATGGGCGCCACTGCTCTGCGCGCCAGCTCCGTGTGTGTGTGTGTGTGTGTGTGTGTGTGTGTGTGTGTGTGTGTGTGTGTGAGAGAGAGAGAGTGTGTGCGCGCGTGCATGTGTGTGTGTGTGAAAGAGAGGGGGAGATATATTGAGAGAGAGATGGAGAGGGAAACAAGAGACGTGGAGAGCTGTAGCCCCTTGCCAAAGGATGCTTCAGTCTCCTAGCAACAACAATCGATCTGGCAAGGAGACATTTTTATTGGATAAAAAGAAAACTTAGCCATTCGCCCCCCCCCCCCCTTAGCACATGTTTACCACTCAGAATAACAACTCCAGCATTATTGAGTGAAGAGAGAGAGGTAGAGGGAGTGAGGAAAAAAGAAGGAGAGAGGGATAGAGAGAGAGAAAGAGACAGATAGAGAGAGAGATGCTCCCAGATGACTGTTTCACATGTGTGAGAGGTGCAGGATAATACACTGAATTCATCTTCATCCATCTGTCCTGACTCAAAACATATATGATGAAGTACAGAGAGTTTCTTTTAATTATTATTTCATGGAAGCTCCATCAATGTTTCAACATATTATTAGACTCAGTGAGAAAGAAAGAAAAAAAAAACTGGGAGGAGGGCGCTAAACATGCTGTCCATTCCTCATCTCGTTCAGGCATATTTGGAAAAATGTGGCATCGGCTGCGTGGTTCAGTGATAGAGACATAGCACATCCAGACCTCACAGCTTTGACTTGAAAGTCGACATGTAAATCCTTACATCACTAACATGATGCATCCACATACACACACACACACACACACACACACACACACACGCACCGTTTTTTGCACAAGTTATGGAGTCTCTCTCTCTCTCTCTCGCCCTGTGTCTCCCCATGTTTTTCCATCATGAGAGCAGAAACTTGTACTTGTTTGTATGATTATGCACATGGAGCCATTAGAATGCAAGTATGCAAGTGTGCAGCTCCTATTGAACAGAAAATCCTCCTCATGCATGATTGAGTCACAGAGCGCTCTCTCTCTCTCTCTCACTCTCTCTCTACTCAACACAAATGCACACAAAACTGAACACTACACACACATAGCGGCAGTATAGAGGCCTGATTTCTGTATTGTAAAGTTAGTCAGGTGCATAAAGATACACTGTCTGAGGGCTTGCTCAAAGCAGACTTCTTTCTGATTGCACCCGCAGGCCACAGCATGTTGTGTTGCCTGTTTTATTGGCAGATGTATGATGACGGCAAGGTGAAGTTTCTGACTAGCTCATATGTTTTCCACGTACGTTCCCTGTGACACCATATGGTATAAGAAAACTGTCTCTGAGGATAAGCTTTGGATGGATGGAGATTGATTAGTTGACTGAAGGACTGAGGATAAGAGCATCCACTTCACACCCCTGTGACACACATGCATGCACGGGCATGAGGTGATAAGTGAACAAACACACACACACACAAACACACACACACAGACACACACACTTGCGGCCAGTGTCAGTCACAGCTTTCCCGGCCTTCATCTCTCGTCCCTGCCGCTCGGGTTTTGGAGATGCTGGATGCTCTAATAAAGGCCTCATTGTCTGCATGGCATGCATATATGCAGAAAGCCCAGAAAGCCAGCTTTGTCCCATAAGGGTCCCTCAGCGAGAAAGCTTTGTGCTCGGCCTTTCCCCCAAGACTGAGGCACAACATGGGCATAAAGCAGAAAGAAAGAAAGAAAGAAAGAAAGAGGGTGAGAAATACATATACATATCAGAGTGATAGATTCTAAATATGGACCAGTTAACCCACACATGAAGTCGTCTACAGGCATGAAGCCCTGTGTGTGTGTGTGTGTGTGTGTTTGAGCTTGAATGTGTGTGTCCATTGCAGGAATGTAACATTTAGCCTGATGCTGAACTGCTCCAGCTCATGCAGCAGGAAGCGGGTCCTCTGGGATTATGTTTCCTTCTTCTTTGATTCCACACAGATTGTTTGTGTCCCAGCGTTAATAGAATTATCCATGCTTCATTTCCCATGGTCTTCTGTCCTGTCTTGGCCTCGTGATGGATGGAGCTTCACACAGAAGAGCGAGTGTGCTCAGAAGTGTGCTCAGTGTTGGTCGGACAACGGCGCTACTTACGACCACAAGCTTCCATTTGCTTTGGTCAGTGTGGTCACTTGTGATGTAGCCAAAAGGACAAAAGGCCTTCTAATAACGTGGAGCTTTGACCCAGTGTGAGAATAACAGTTTCAGGCTGTTTCTATTCAGTGTGTGTTTAAGATATAAGATAAATTGTTGAACTTGTCTTGAGACAAATTAAAGTATAAATATTTGTGGAGTGTGACCAAAGTTAGCACCAAACAAATAGATTTCGTTAACATACAAAATGTCCAAATTGGATTTACTGCAGTTTCAATAAGCACAAATATAAGGTACATTTATAAAAAATTGGAAGGTTTGAAGGCTGACCTGTTCTTCAGACACATTTCAGTCAAGAGAAGATAATAGAGAAAGAAATAAGAATAAAACAAAATTTATCATGAACAAGAGGAATAGACTTTGGCACTTAAACCCCAGCAGGAAGTTGAAGACAGTAGATGCAGTCCTATGAATCAGATGGTTTGGACATGAAGGAGACTTCCCCAGAACTGGTAGTGAGGAGGAATGGAGCAGGAAGTTGGGACGTCTCATGAAGGTCTCTGGTTGGACGGTTTGACGTGAGATGAACTGGTATCCAGAGCTGAGGTGGGTCGCTCATTGATCGCAGAATACTGAACTGACAGCTGAATGACATGGGGGAGAGAGAACATTTTGAACTTTGACAGCTTACAGGTGATTGGCTCACTGCGGACGTGTCAGGTTGTGATTGGATGAGCAGAGAGAATGAGCTCGTGGAGTTTAGAGATAACGGGAACTTTTGTTTTGCTTCATATCTGTGTTCAAACTCTGGACAGGAGATTTAAAGACCAGCTAAACCAATTTTATTATGACAATGTGCACATATCTACTCAATCCATTTTCCAAAAACATAACACATTTAGTTCCTAGGATTTTACTACACATAACCAAAATCTATGTTACTGCAATAGAAACCATTTCATTAGTAATGCTTATGATTTTTTTCTCTGTAAAACTTTTCTGAATATTTATATATTCATTATAGAATAACCATAGACTGGACCGTGTTTGAGAACAGTACAGATGGTGATGGTTTACACTCAACAGAAGTCTGTCAGTGTGATGCTGGTAAGACAATGGCTATTTTTGGAAGTTAAATATGACGCCCATTAAACTTGCCCTTAATGTGTCTTAGATGACAAAGTAAAAATGTGTGTGTGTGTGTGTGTGTGTGTGAATATCATATGGTTGGTGATGTTGTTTTGGGCAGTATATGGCTCCTAACGGGGGGTTGGTCTCTAATTATCTTAGTCACAGAGGCATGGCCAACAGACTGCAGGCCGCACACACTTCACAGGACACGCACTGACCTGTCTCATGTTCGTCTGCACGCCAGTCCAACACACACACACACACTACATTATGGAGTCGTGACTCATCACACACACCTTCTGTCCAGAGTAGTTTACAGGCTGAACTTTATTTGCAGCCATGTAAGATCAGACATCTTGGATTTTGAATGAAAAAACCCACAAAAACAAAAAGTATTACTAATTGTGCAAAACTCTAATTGAAACGCCACTTAAGGGTTCACCATACTTTCCGTATTTTGTGTCCGCTGAAAGTTGCACACTTGTTCTGGTCACGATCATTTCAAACTAAAATGTGGGTCCAGTGCATTCCATTCAAGTAGGTGGAATGTTTTACATATCTCACTGTGTTACTGAAAATGACTGTGAATCCGTGTAGGCTCTTTTAGATCAAGAAAAAGAAATGGAAATTCAGAAAGTCAAAATCATGTGATCAAACTATACTCCCAGTTGGGGTTGTATCTATAGAATATGAAAAAGTACACATGTACACACACACTAACTGACTGTGTACAGTATCTGATTTGGCCTCTACTCTGAGCTTTCTCACCACGACCACAATTCATTAGTAATTGACCGCAGCAGCCTCACTCATTAAACATTAACAGGCTACTGGTGAATAATTGATTAATGATATGAGGCGATCTTCAGCAGCATTCTGACAATAATAGTGCATGGATGAGACGAAGGAGAAATGCAACGCAAAGCAGAGGCCCGACACATGACACAGATAAATGCATGCACGTACACACACACACACACGATCACTCACTCACCTTGCTGATCCTTAAGATTTCTATCAGTCTCGGTTTTTAGATCCGTCGTCAGTTTTCTTTTTGTCAGTTGCTGCTGTTTCTCGTTTTAGACTGAAGCATAACCCAATTTCTTTGAGCAAGCACTCCACAGCTCCTCAGTTCCTTAAGGACTCGTGGAATGTTTTGTGATTATTGCGGTCAAGAATATTGCTCTTCTATTTACTGCATTTTTTTTGTGGCTGTATTATTTTCTAAATTGCAAGGTTGCGGCATAAAAGCAAAAAGGAGGAGAGGATCAATACGAAACTAGTCGCTAAAATTTTAACGCATCCTCCAAATTACCCTACAAAATATGAATGGTTTTTGATCTGCACCAAGTACTACAATATCCTTCAGAAAAACAAATCCAAAATGAAAACCTCCTCCTTTTCAGATGTTGCTACGGTTATGGTTTGTTGGGTTAATACAGCTACTATTCTAAGGTTAAGGGACCTTCGTAGTCGTGATTAAAAAACCTCTTGAAGGGTCAGAAACAATTGTTTATCTTGCTGCTGGTCTTGTCTCATGGCTGCTCACTCTACATAGCCCATTCTTGTCTGTCCTAAGACTATGGAGGACATTGACTATGTGACTTTAAATGACATTAAATGCAAACAGAGTAATTATACTCAATCCATTATTTTAAATACAAATTGGCCTTTAGTTGATTATATAAGTTTTCTTTGAAGAAGAATGCAGCTGCTGATGTTGGAGTTTGTAATGTAAC